GTGTTGGTTGTGTGTGGTAATGAAACGTAGTAAGCTTTCTATTGACTCAGTTAGTCCTTGTTTTTGGACTTTCATCGCTTGCTTTACCCTGTCATGTCGTCGAGCTGGGGTTCCTCCCTCCCCGGAATTCTTTTACGCCTGCTTTTTCTTCCGTCATAACCGAATTGGTTGGGAATTGCACAAGCATAAGTCAACCAATAATCTCTCCACTTCGCTTAGCCACTTGAGAGGATCATGGGAGACATAATTCTTTTATTTTCTTGCCCCGCCTGGTGAGTTTACCTCGGGCGGTAACCTAGTTCCGGCTGAGTGGAATGAGGGTGTTACAGGAGGGTTTCAGGATCCTGTGATTGAGGGAGAGATTGTTGTACAACGTGACCGACTCCTTCGTGAGAAACCCATTAGTATAAGCAGTCCTGGGGATCGAGCATGCTTGTTTCTTGCTGTCTATGGTAAAGGTATGTCTCTTTTACAATGTTCCCCTCTCTCTCTCTATCTTTTTTTTTACTGGATTTTCTAATTGTAATCCTCCTGCAGACTATTCCCAGTTTAAGGTTTGTATGAAGAATAGGGAGGTGCCAGTAGTGCCTCACTCGTACGTTGGGGTGTCAATTTGTCAGATACCAAATAATCCCCTTCGCAAACGATTGGGAGTTCGTCGTGATCAGCCGAAGAGAAATCGTTCTTCAGTGCGAGAATCAGGGGATTCACCTGTCGGAAAGTGTCATTCCGAGGGGAGAGCCAGAAAAGGAAAAAGCCCAGTGTGCGATAGGGGAACCTTGAAGGAGAGGGGGGGAGTCTTCAAGAGTCAATAAAGATGGAATCTTGGATGGTGATGTCATAACTTATGACACCCTTTGTGAGGCGGGGAAACACTTTCCTGCTTTAGATGATGTAGCTACAGGATCCACTTTAGCTTCGTCCATTTCAGAGGTGTTTTTACATTCTTCCTTTATTCCTGGGTCTTTAATTCAAATATGATATATTGACCTTGCTCCTTTTTTAATAGTTGGCGAGGTATGCTGTTACCATGGAGGATCGTCTAACCACGGCAAAGCTTCGGGTAACTGAGGCCCGAGAGCAGGCAACTCGTTCTTTGGAGGAAATGAAGATCCAGATGAAGATAAGAGAGGAGCAATTTTCTTCCAAGTCCTGTGAATGGGCTGCAAAAATGGCGGAGGCTCAACAACATGTTGACACAGCCACACAAGAGTTGCGTACCTCAGAAGCAGCCGAGGCTGGCCTTCGTGAAAAAGTGGAGCAACTTCATGCCAGTATGTGTGAGGAGAGGCTAACCAGGAGGACTTTACGATCGGAGAATACTGGTTTGCACTCAGAAAACACCACCCTCCGATCAGAGAACAATACTCTACATCATCAGCTACAGATGGCGTTTTCAGGAGTGATGGATAATGTCCATCGTCTGGCTAGGAAGGCGATTTATTGTATGTATCCTGCAAGAGATCTTGATGACATTCGCCTTCGTCAAGTGGTGGAGGAATGCGCGACTACTTCGGAACCTGAGGAGGTGACATCCCAAATTATGAATGTCGTGGAGGAATGTGTTGGTGCTTCTGAGTGTAGGGAGGCCGTAAGCCATATTTCGAATGTGGAGATTGAATTTCATCGCGTCTCGCCACTTTTAGATGCGGTTTCTGAGGCACCTCCAATGGTTGGCACTCCAGTACATTCATATTTTAATATCTCCACGGCAATGTTGTTGGCTGCAAGAGAGTTACTTGGCCCAGAGTTTTTAGAGAACTAAAGATTATGAAATTCCAACTTGAAATAACATTTTAAGATACTCGGCCATGTAAATAGCTTAGCTTATAAATATCTGTAGTAAGTACTGTACAATGGGTTCCAAACTTTTGAAATAACTATAATAAACATGCTCCTTTTATTACTAGCTATCTTTCACCCAACCATGGCATTTATTTAGGGAACAAATCCACTGGGGTGTTTATTTAAAAGATAGCGAGGATGTACCACATTTATGGAGTAAAGTATCTCCTGAGATGCATTGTGTTCCAAGTCCTTGACATGTCTTGACCATTAGGGAGTGACAGTTTTACGGTATTTGGTCCTACCACTTTACGCACTTTGTAAGGACCCTCCCACTGGGGGGTGAACTTTCCCTGACTTGGAATGTGTTTGAAGTTTCTCCTCTGAACCCATTCTCCTTCCTGGATAGGTCGATTTCTCACCTTGGCGTTGTAGTAACGGGCGATCCTCTCTTTGGAAGCGGCGAGTCGCAAAAGCGCTTCCTCTCGATGCTCCTCGATGAGATGTAGATCATGAGTGAGCTCGATTTGATTTTCATCGGGGCGGAATGCTTGAATTATGTACGAGGAGAGCTCCATTTCAATTGGTAGCACAGCATCAGTGCCATAAGTCAGGGCGTATGGCGTCTCCCCAGTGGAGGTTTTGTAAGTTGTCTGGTGGGCCCAAAGCACATGGGGCAGCTCCTCGACCCATCGACCCTTGGCTTGGCCTAATCTGGTTTTTAGGCGCCATATGATGCTTTTGTTAGCTGCCTCAGCCTGACCGTTAGCTTGCGGATAGGCCACTGAGGCATATCGAAGTAGGATTCCATATTGGGCGCAATAGGCCTGTAAATCTTCGCTTTGGAATTGTGTCCCCTGATCCATGATTAGAGTGTGAGGGAGACTGAACCTGCATAAGATGTTTAACCATAAAAACTTTTCAACTCGCTGAGTGGATAGGCTAGTGATCGCCTCAGCCTCGATCCACTTGGTGAAATAGTTAATGGCTACGATCAGCCACTTCTTTCGTCCGGGAGCCGTGGGAAAGGGTCCCAAAAAGTCCATCCCCCATTGAGGGTTAGAGAGCGAAAGAAAAGAATAGAGTGGATGTAAGGGTCGTTTAGGGTTGGGAGTGGGGTTAGGGGGCGGGCTTGGCTCTGGGGATGGGCTGGGCTGGGTGTATTTCATTTATCCGGTTTTAACCAGATTGGACTGGGCCGGTTTTTTGTATGAAGTTTACAACCGCAAATTGGATTGGACTGAATGGAATCCAGTCGCCGGTTACAACCAGGAAGGTTTAAACTGGCCAGTTTCTAGTTTACCGGATTCCGAGCCCTACCCGCAACAATAGTTATGGCTAATAATTTGAATTTTCATAGTTGTGGCTATAATTCCCCATTTCATAATAGTTGTGGCTAATACATTGTATTTACCCTAAAATCAATACAAGTTCGAGAAGCAAATAGTTCGAAGAACGTGATAGATTTACTTTTTTTTCACCATAAAGTAAGCTAATTCATCAATTCATCGTTCTTGAAACTACTATAATAATTCTCAAAGTGTCCTAGAAAAATTGAATAAAGAAAGGGACCTACCTCATTCAGGTTAAAACAAATAAGACTTATTAGCTTCTCCTTGTCAAAACCAGCAAACTCAGTATTAAGACAAGTCATACAAGTTAACAATCTAGTATTCATCACCTCATCAAAGCGATAGTCCAACTCTTACAGTTGCATACCAAGAATCAAGTAAAATAATTCAACCTAATAGTGATTCAACTTTCGTCAATAAATAGGAAATTTAATTTTAGAGTTTGGATACAAATTGGGAATATTGGTTCTATTGACACTTTGTTTTAGATTATAATTGCATTTATGTTTTAAAGATAGTAAAATATTAATGGTTTGTAACGTATCATATTTGCTCTATAATTGGTGTGTTACGGATCAAATCACAAAGACTAATATCTATATTTTTTTCTTTTCTCCAAAGCCATAAAGGTAGGGCTGGCTATTTGGTAAGAACTGTTTGATTTTATCCGAAATCGGACCGTATAACCCGAACCGGGACCGAACAGGGACCGGATAACAAACAATCCAATATCATATTCGGGCTTAGATTTGATGTATAAAACCCGGATAAAGACCGGATAAGAGACCCCCAACACCTAAAATCAAGATCAAATTGGGACCGAACCGAATCAAGACCGGACTGTATCCAATCCAATTTTTGGTCCTTGTATTCCCGAAAATACTGGACTGGGACCGGATCAATTTGGTCCAATTTAACCGGACCGTATAACCACCCTAATTAAAGGACCTGTAATCTCTACTTAAATTTTAGCAATGTCTTGAGCATCCCCAAAGGATGATGGATCCGTATCTACCCGAAGTCAAACTACTACCAATCCAATGGTCAATAAATTAGCCGTGTCCCTATGACCCATATATCTATATTAATGATTAACGGTTAGAATGCCCCCACTTTGATGTGGTTTGGACTAAAATTAATACGGTATTAATTGAAATCCAACACTAGAAAGAGAGATGAACGGCAGCAGCATGCAGCATTTAAACAAAAGGAAGAATTAATAAAATAGAAGGAAAATTTATATATGCCAAACAATCTCATCTGATCCATAAATAGTAATCGAAACCAAAACGATAAACGTAAGTCCACCGAGGCACCGACTAACATGCATGATAAAGATGAAACATCTGTACGTAACCACGTACATACGACGTAGCCAATATTATTCCAAATATGTTTTAAGATAAACCTTTTTTATTTTCTGTGTCGCGTCTCTCTTGTAGTTTCCCCAACTCCTTGGCAAGTAACATGCCACGCAATGCAATTGCTGAATTGCATAAATAACAGCAACAAGAAGCAGACAGCTGTCGACCCACTAACCAGCATGGTTAAACTTAAATAAATGACACACGTCCAAACAGAGCAGTCGCCCACAGCACGTGTCTTCACTGCAATGGCCACTTCACTCCCCATAATGATTAAATGATATATATTGCATAATTATATTTTCCCCCTTGCCGTCTGCCAAAAGAGGAGAAGAGAGGAGAGGAGAGGAGAGATGCTTCACCATGTAACGACACGTGGAATACAAGTGTCCCCTTGGCAGAGACACGTGTGGAGATCATGTAACCTGCTTAGCGGTTATATATATCCCTCCACTTCCCCCGCCATTCGAAACCCACAAAAGAGTGAAATAGGAGAAAAGAAAAGAAAAGAAACCTATACATATTAGCTGGTAGCGGTATCAGTCGAGAGTTTCGTATACACAGAGACAGAGAGCAGGAGAATGTCGTCGAATCAGCCTCAGGAGCATTACTACAGAGCTGGCCAAGCCGAAGGCCGCGCTGAGGTATATACATATAATATACGGATATACCTCTTCCCTAACCACAACCTTCTTCTCTCAACTCATTTATAAGGAAGGAGGCTAATACTATAGCTGTTTTTTTTTTTTTTTTGTTGGGTGAGTGCAGGAGAAGACTGGGAGGGTGGCGGACACGGTGAAGGAGAAGGCTCGGTCAGCAAAGGAGACGACCGAGCAGAAGGCACAGGAGGCCAAAGAGAGGGCTGCCCAGACGGCTCAGGAGGCAAGAGAGAAGGCTGCGCAGGCGGCGGAAGCGACCAAGGAGAAGACGTACGAAGGGAAGGAGAAGACGAAAGGGGTGCTGGCGCAGACGGGGGACAAGGTGAAGCACATGGCCGAGAGCGCAGCGGACACCGTGAAACAGACGCTGGGGATGGGCGGGCAGCAGCACGAGCAGAGCAGCACCACCGGCGGGACCGGGGAGGATCGGGTGATTCATGAGAGGCAGGAGCATGGGACGGGCGGTGTGTTGGGTGGCACCGGCGGGCAGCGTACTACTACCACCACGACGCGCAAGGAGTCCAATTACTAGAGGGAAGTGGGGATAGGAGTGTGTTGCGCGTCGTACGTGCATGCATGTGTGTTTTGTAATAATTAAAAATGTGTGCGCAGTGCAGGCTAGGTTTGAGTTAGGGAGTGGGGCGTGTAACTGTAAACTGTGTTTTTATTTTGTTTCGAGTTTGGTTGTGTTTGGGGCACGGGAGGTTGTTCCGGTGGGTGGGGGTGGTTTGATTCCCCGTCTGTAAGGAACGGAACGGAACGGCATCATCGTGCTGTTGTGATGGGCTGGCCCAGCGGTGCTTGAAGACCTAGCTAGCTACTTTCTAAGGTGGCCTGGAATGTTATTTGTTAAATAAAACACCTGTGTATTTCGTTTCGTACTACGATCATCTTATCAAAATTTAAGCAGGTATAGAATTATTAGTATGAAATCGTTGCATTGTAATTATGAATTAGTACCACATTCAGAAAGTATTTTGCAACCGGTCTGTATGTATTATTTTCGAAGCCGTCGGGGTTGAATTTCCGATCCCATGGTTAATGACCGCTAGGCGCTAACAGAGTGAGCTTCATTTTACCCTGCTTAAATCAGTGACAGTTATATACTTGTATCCAACACAGCAGAAAGTACCACCCGTAATGAATTTTTTTGATGAAAAGGTAGGGAGGGAAACAGTGTCCGGGGGATTGGTTATTGATTGCTCATAAGTTGGACCCAGAGCTGAAATAAGGTTTGGAAACGTGGGCCTGGTAGATATGGGCCTAACTTCATAGCCCATGACTTCGTTGGGCTGTTCATCTTTTTTTTTTTTTATGGGAACCTGTATTCATTCAAAGTTCAGCCTCTGTTACATGGGCCACGACCCAAATCTTCTTCCAACAGAACAAGAAAAGAGGGGGGATTCTCGGTTCAGACCAATTGACTGCCCCAACTCGACCCCGAGTGGGCCAACCAATGAGCAACCCTGTTCTTCTTTCTACCCGCAAACGACCAAATCACCTGAGAACCCGACAAGCCTTCATTCACCTTCGCCAACCTCAAAATTTCATCGCACCAATTTCCCAGCTCGGTGAAATCCTCTTCCCTCCTCCTCAGTTTGTTGATGAGCACTTGACAGTCAGACTCGATAATTAAGGAACTCAAATTCCTTCGATTAGCTTCCACCAATCCCATCACCAACGCCCTTGCCTCAGCCTCAATCGGACTGCATGATCCCTTTTCCTTCTTCAAAGTAGCTCCCACGAAAACTCCCCTCCAATCTCTAAACACAGCCAAAACCCACTCCCCCATTTTTGAAAACTCCCAGCATCCGAGTTAAGCTTGACAACCCCAACTGGGGGAGGACTCCATTGATGGATCTGGGAGTCATTTGGCGTCGCCCCAGAGACTGAAGAATCGAGCGAAAGATCTTGGGCCGCGAGATAAGAACCAATCCAGGACAGCGCCCGAGGGGTGATATCGCCTTCCTCAACGATAGATGATAGTTTCGGAGTTGACACACGCTCCCGTTCGTGCGGAGTTTTTTTTGGGAGAAGCTGCGGTGCTAGACCGTCATACCTATAATTTTCACCGTCCATCACTAATTCTAATCTAATAGCTATGAAATCACTTAGGATATCTGCATTAAATATTTGGACTTTGCTACGGTGACATGCACTTTTCGGTCGACCTCATATAGGATTAGGTCGACCTAATCTGTTGTTTCAGTGTAAAAGCAGTTTTATGGTGACTACTTTGGAGATTCATATCTTACAATTGGCTAGATGGAAATTGGAGATTAAAGGCTTGTTTTGAAGCTGAAGTATCCCTCTACACATTAAAGTACTTGGGAGCTCAATAGAAAGTTCAGAAGACCATTTTTGAACTTGACCAAAAGGCTATGCCAAAACTGGGAAACTGCCTGAAAATGGCTAAGTCTGGCAACGTGTTTGTCAAGCCTATTTTGGAGCTCAATTTGAGAAGCATGGATGCGAGTCAAGTCCAGGGGCCTCTACCACGTTAAATTACGTATTTTATTATACAAAGGCAAGGCATTGGATGAAAGATTGAATATCTTTAAGGCTTCAAACAAAAGGCTCGAAGTTGCTATGAAGGCTGTTTTTCTGGCAGCTTGCTTGTGCTCGAAGTCTGCCAGAAAAACAGACTTCGTAGCAACTTCGACCCTTTTGTTTGAAGCCTTACAGATATCCAATCTTTCATCCAATGCTTTGAATTTGTATAAAAACATACATAATTTAACGTGGTAGAGGCTCCTGGACTCGACTCGCATTCATGCTTCTCGAATTGAGCTCGAAAATAGGCTTCACAAACACGTTTCCAGACTTAGCCATTTCCAGGCAGTTTCTCAGTTTTGGCATAGCCTTTTGATGATGTTCAAAAATGGTCTTCTGGACTTCCTATCGAGCTCTCTTCCACTTCAATATGTAGAGGGACACTCCAGCTTCAAAACAAGTCATTAGTCTTTAATTTCCATCTAGCCAATTGTATGATATGAATATCCAAAGTAGGCACCATGAACTGTTTTTACACTGAAACAACAGATTAGGTCGACCTGATCCTATATGAGGTCGACCGAATCCTAAATGAGGTCGACCTGATCCTATATTAGGTCGACCGAATCCTAAATGAGGTCGACCAGATTCTAAATGAGGTCAACCTAATCCTAACTGAGGTCGACCGGAAAGTGCAAGTCACCGTGGCATGCATGTCACCGTAGGCACACCCTAAATATTTATTTCCATTTTTCTAATTAAGTTTGTATTTTTAATTCCCATCTTTTTTTTCTTTTTTCAAAGGAATGAATTCACTTTGATTGCAAAATAATATTTTTAAATGTATTTTGACCAATAAATTTCATACTACCTATTTTCACTCGATATCAACCACCATTGTTTTAAACTTAATTTTAATAAAATCAATTGTTATAAGAATCACGGATCAATGGTTGGGCCAGTTGAACCGCCAAACCAGCTACGATAGAGGTCTGGTTCATTGCTTGAACGGTTATTGATGGACCAAATGATTTTTCACGATTCAAGATGAAAACATATGAACCAACACAGTTCAAATAGTCCAGTGGTTCACTATTTTAACCACAAAATTGCTTTAAAAATACTTTACATAAACTAAGACCATCAAACCATAATTATTAATTTTATATCTACTTTCTCTTCTCATTTTCCAACCTTGTTGTCGACTCGAACCATAATTTTGAAATTAATTAAAAAATTATGAATTCTTTTGTGAGGCTGTTTGAATGATTTATTAGATATTTTGATGTTGATATGAATTTGAGATTGTTTATGGTCAATGATTACTTCATTCTTAAATTAGTATTATATAAAAGTCTTGTATATTATATACATGAATGTATCTATCCACGGTTAATCAACGGTTTTGTAACGGTTAACCACTGAACCCTAAACCACTAACTTTTCCAGTTCAGCTTCCGGTTCAGTTCTGAAACCGGAGCTAAAATAATTTGTATCACCTACATGCTACAACCACTATTGTTAACTCAATTTTGCAGTATTTTAGCAGCAGGAATAAGTATCATGATCTAAGAATTCGTTATAAGTATCATGACCTATAAAATTCGTTATAAGTATCATGATCTAAGAATTCGTTATAAGTATCATGACCTATAAAATTCGTATATTTATGGAGAAATATAAACAAGACCAAATATATTGTTTGATAGATGGTGATAAAAGATGGTAGATGGTTGTTAGCATATTCCTATTATCAATGTGTACAATTATAATAGTATATTCATATCACTATGATACATTTACATATTACTTTGGCATAATCTTATCTATTAACAAGAATCATCATATATGAAGTGGTAATACATGCATGAATTTTTTGTTTCAAAATATCAATGTAGATTTTATAATCCAATTTTTTGTGAAAAGTTTTCGATTAAAATGAAAGAGATATACTGTATTAAATTTAATGTGGAAAATGTTATGCATAGTCGGTAACCAAATTAACTTTTGACCAGAATTTGGTTACTAACCATATCCGGATACTAGTTACGGGCCCGGGCAGTTGGCCGGATTAAGTTGTCAATAAAATAAATAACATTCACGATTCCTATTCGAGTTATGCATTGGTATAGGGAAATCTAAGTTCTTCAGATACTTTGAACATTCGAATCAATTTGGTGAATAAGAGAATCCAAATTATTAAAATAGTTCAACAATTCAAAAGGATCAACATTATACTTTTTTCGACATGTTAATGACTAATCAACTAAAATCCTTTCATGAAAAATGAAAGAAAAATCTCATGCGAGGGAACCAACTCATAAAGACCAATTAAAATGACCCTCCTAAGTACTCCTCATCGTCAAAGATTAATGCACATTTTCTTTTTGGCTTGTTTGCATTTCTTTCGGCATGAGCAACAACTTCATCACCGCCATTAATAATGTCATCATGTCCATTAGCGACACATTTATCTTCATCATATACAGGTAGTCCTTGATGGTAATAAATATTTACAAATATAAATCATCTTTTTCATAGGAGTATAATTTACCTCATCCAAATTTTGAACAATATCTAGGATTTGTTTTTTCTCCCCATCACGTCTTTATATCTTCCTCATGAACAACGTCTTTCTTCTTCTAAACATCATCTTCATCTCTAGCACCGAATCCGTTACCTCCACCATTAGCAGTGTCATTTTTGTTCTCATGCATCAATATCATGAATTTAGATATCTGATTTTAAGAAGTATAACACATGGTTTGGTTTTATCGAATAATGATTGGTCAATATATATTATAGGTAAAATTGTAGCCCGATATAATTTATTGCAAATTAGTGGGAAAGAAAGCAAATTTCCACACCCAATACGAAGATAAAAAAAAAATCAAAGCCTCCATATTTCCAAGCAGGCAATACAAGAAATAAAAGGGAGTTTTCCACCTCTTTTTTTTTTGTCAAATTTAGCGGTAACAAATCAGTCATAGCAAGAAGAAAGAAAAGCGCGGGAGTCGACTAATCGTCGAACTCCCGATG